TAAAGATCAAGCTATCGCGGATGCCTATGGTAACAGTTATTGTATTCCCCTAGACCTTGACATACTGACTTCGCATCCCCCTTTTTACCCCAACTGTTTAAAACAACCTCTGACGTACGAGATAAAGTTTAACGATCACGAAAAAGTAGTGAACAGTTCAGATACGGCAGCGATGTATTCTATCTCAGACTTGACTCTCGAATACGAAGTGGTGACCAACGGAGACCTAGCTATCACAATCAGAAATAAACACAAGGGTTTTATGCAATATCTGTTTGATAAAATCCACTCGCTAGAAGTTAGATCCGTCAACAAATCGGACACGCTTTGGAACGTCAGCGTCAATCAACCGATCAGGGGTCTCAAGGGTATTTTGTTTTTGTTTAAGGATCCCTCGGAGAAAAATACGCAGCGATTTTATAATCCAAAACTAACAGAAATATCGGTGACCGTAGAAGGTAAACCCAATCAACTCTACAGTCAAGCCATGTTTCAGTATCAACACTGTAACGAAATTATCAAGTTCTTTGGAGACAGCGATACCGAAAGCGGGCATGGAGTAACCAAAGACTTAAATTTGAAAGGTTGTGAGCGTACTAAAAAAAACAAGTACGGTCTGTGGCTCGATTTTAGAAGTAACTAAGACAAATCTGCTCACGGATCTGGTAGGAAACTTGGATACGGAGGAGGCATCAACGTTCAATTTAACAGAGAAGCCGAAAGTCAAGGTAACCTCACAGTGTACGTCTTTTTGGTCATGGATGCTCAATTGAACTTGGAAGACGGGAAGTTATAGTCATCGTTTGCCCTACCATATTTAAAAACAAAACATACATCAAAAGAAAATGGATTCAAGCAGATCCTAATGTACATCTCTGCGATCCGGAATTGTACAATATGACACTCAACGAAGCGCTCGATTTTTACAGGAAAGTCTTCGAAGGTATTGCCACACTGTTTATCTTGGACGATTGCTCTTCGGATCAAGAGATTAAATATCGTAAAATGACGTGCGCACTAAGCAAGATGGCGTTTAGCGGAAGACACGTAAATCACAGCTGTTGGTTATTGACTCAAAAGTACTATACTAGTACTAAAATAGCGTTTTAAAAGATTATAGAGAAAATACGGCTTGGTTGGCATTATTTTACTGCAAAGATAAAACATTGTTTGATCAAGCGTTAGACGAAAATGACGTCGTACCCATTGAAGAACCAGATTATATAAAACGACGTTTGAGAGATGTGAAATATAGTAAATTGGTCGTATATACCGAACCTTCAGTTAGTTAAGAGCTACTTGAGTAGCTAGGTGTGTAGCCATTAATAGCTAGGTGAATAACTAAAATAAGCTAGGTGCTTAACAAAAATAAGCTAGGTGCTTTACTAAAATAAATTAAGTGCTTAACTAAAATAACCTAGCTGAGTAGCAACCTATTCAACAAGCTACAAATGTATTACAATTTGCTAATCATTAAAAATCAGCAACCTGTTCAATAAATGTAAACAAAATGTATTTTGCTGTTAGTAAATGATTAATCAGTGGGCTTGTGGTGGCCCAAATGCAATTTCGGGTACATTCTTTGAAACTCTCAGGATCACTAGAGGATACCTCAAGAAGTTCCAAAGCACTTGATGCCATTTTTTCTGACCCTTTTGTGGGCGTGTCCATGATTTTAAAAAGTGGGTGGCATCGCGCGCAAAAAATGATTAAAAAAATTTTACTTTTCTTTTTGGCATTTTGATAGTTCACCCGAGTGCTATATTACAAGAAAAACAAATCCACAATTTTGCCTCTTTTGGGGGTGGGGCAACATTTTAAAAAGTGGGGGTCCCATGTCGCTAACAGAAAATCAACCTGTAAAATGCAATCTTGAGGTTTTTGTTTTTGTTTCAATCCATTATAATTTGGCGAGGAAAAAAACGTTTACCTGTCAACTTATAAATTCTTTGGCTTACATTTGGGGGGCGTGTCACACTTTTTTTCATAAAAAGGGGGCCATACGTGTGATCCTAAAGGGAGCTTGTGCGAGCCCGTGTATATTATTGCACATTCTTTAAAACTCTCACAAAGACCTCTGGACAACTCAACAAGTGAAAATCTGCTCCACCCCCCCCCCCCCCCCCCCCATTGGCCATTAAAACAAGTCACATGCTTTTCTTGAATCTTTGGGGAGCCAGGTTGGCGCTTGGGGAGTCAGGTTGGCTCATTGGTTACTTTCCTTTATCTGGGTTGGGTTTTCAGAAACTATTGGCAATATATTCATCAAAGTTTCAGCCTAAGATGTGTTTCTCTACTCGGTGGCTACAAATCCTTTTGAAATATCCAATCTTGAAGTACATCAGCAATCATGAAAGGCGAGGAAAGTAACCAATGAGCCAACCTGACTCCCCAAGCGCCAACCTGGCTCCCCAAAGATTAAAAAAAACAAATGGGTGACTAGTTCAAATTATAAAAGTATTTTATTAATTACAAATCCTTTACCTTAACATTCCAGCATGGTTTTCCAAAGCGAAAACTCAAAAGTTAGGCAAACCTCTTGACAGAGGCTTGGGATATCAAGTTTTCCTTCTGATATAACCAATCTTAAAGTATGGCACCAATTTTATAAATGATACATATATTCAGTGATATGCCATATTTAAAACTGTGACACACAAAAAAGTGACTTATAAAGGATTCACTAAATCACCCCGGTTTGGCAAGTTTTACTCTTAATATTGCAATTTGTAATTTTCAAACTTTTTTTCCAATGATCGAGTACCACATTTCATAATATCATTTTTATAAATGAAGTGAAGATAAATAAATTTAAAGTTAAAAAGGCTATTGCAGTTTGTGTGTAATAAAACGAGGTCAACATTGTTGTCAGACAAAATATACTACTGTTGATAACTCGAACCTTCTGTTAAGTCAAACAAGGCCTAAATCCCATCTATAACAGTGATATACAACCCTGCTTAACTCAAAACTCTGCTAAGCTTAAATTGGAGCCCACTCTCTTGAAGTTTGAGTTATGGAGATTTATATCAAAACATAAATGTCTCTCAAAATCGATTATTTGTCAATTTGTATGTGTACAATAAATGCAACATATGTTTTAAAAAAAAAGCCTGTCATTTTAATGGCCAATGGGGGGGGGGGTGTGAGGAGATAAGTAGGGTGGAGCAGTTTTTCACTTTGTGAGGTGTCCATAGGTCTTTCTGAGAGTTTGAAAAAATGTGCCATAAATCCATAAGGGCTCTCACAAGTTTCCTTTTGGAATACACGTATGCCCCCTTTTTATGTAAAAAGTGTGACACGCCCCCCAAATGGGAACCAAAGAATTTTTGAGTTGACATGTAAACATGTTTTCCACACCAAATTATAAGGGATTGTAACAAATACAAACACAAAACAGAAAAGCTCAAGATTGCTTGTTACAGGTCGATTTTCTGTTAGCAACGTGTGCCCCCATTTTTTTAAAAGGTTGCTCCACCCCCAAAAGAGGCACAATTGTGGAATTTATTTCTTGTGATGTAGCACTTGAGTTAACTGTCCAAATGTGAAAAAGACATTTTTTTTTAAATATTTTTTTACGCGCAAAGCCCACAGTTTTTAAAATCATGGCCACGCCCACAAAAGGGTCAGAAAAAAAGGGCATCAAGTGGTTTTGAACTTCTTGATGTATCCTCTAGTGATCCTGAGAGTTTCAAATAATGTACCCGAAATTGTATATGGGGGGTCATTTTCGTCCATAAGCCCACTGACAAGATAGCAACATTCGAGTATTTGCAGTTTTTGGCTATTATCATCATATCGCTTAATTTATCAATTTACACATACGAATACCTTCGCTTTTGTAACAAAGTTGCAAAAGCTACAACAAAATTAAATTCGTTTCTAATTAGATGGAGAACCTAAAACTTGCCTTAACGAACGAGCAAGATCACAACGCAGAACATAAAGATCGTTTGTGCGGTGTCGTAGCAGCCGGAAACTCTAGAAATTACGTAGGAAAGGAATATACCATTAAACATATCGAAGCTCTTGACAGTAAAGATCTCGACAAATTTTATAATCTGTACGAAACTAAATTTGGAAATGAAATTGTTCAAACTGTTGGTAAATACACTTTAAGTCTATTTTTGCGAGTGTTATCCGCGGTTACACCCGTACAAATTTTAGGATATAACGTCACTATAGATTCTGAAGAAGAACTCACCAACGACTTGAGTTCTGATCCTATTATAAGCGCGAGTATGTCTGGTGTGTTGAGCGACGTTTGTTACAAGTACGGAACCCTTTTATAACCCCTGGTAGCTACAATTATTACAACAAAACATTTAAAATTAAACAAACCTAATATAATAAATGGAAGATCAGAAAGCAGCGACAGCGACGCCTGCGGCCAACCAGCAGAAACAGAGACGCCCCAACCGATAAAAACAGCGTCATCACCGACGATAACACGAGTGACCAAGACTAAAAATCCTAAACGAATACAGCAGGGTAAAGCTTTAGCAGAGCACAAAAGACAGATGAAATTAAAATTAGCAAAAATGGAAGTAACATCGGATGACACTATAAATTACAACTCTTGGGTGATGTGGGGAGCTATAGCGTCTATAATAGGAGTGGGGTTGCTGGTACTAAAAAGTAAGGCAATTGCGCCGGTGGTACAGCCAGTGTCGATAGTAACCCAATCCACTGCACCCAGTGCCCCAAAACGCTAGACATGAAATAAACAGCAATTAAAAATTGTTAAATTAAAAATGATGAGTAACTTTGACACCAGCGGAATAGCAAATACGATTTACCACGGAGCCGTCATATCGGGTTTTTCGATGGGATACCTCATGGTAGGAGCTAAACTACTCAAAATGAAAGCGCTAGATCTTAATAAAATAAGCGTAGAAGATTATGCTAAATTGACGGGTAGTATAAGTGGAGCTCTGGCCACGCAAAATTGTTTGATAACCCAGGGTATACTACCGGGCAGTATCGTCAAAACGTCGTAATTTAAATAGGTTTATTAAATAAATGGCTGAGGGAGGAATAGACATAGATCCCTTTGACTATGAAAGAAATGATGATAACGATGATGATGATGAAGCAGAGACCAATCTAGATGACAACTTTGATACTCCTGATATACCCGTTACTACTACTGACATTGATGACGTTTTAGATCAAGAAAGAGGCATGGTCACTAATGGTCGCGTTGATAAGTTTTACGATACTTATAACATATACAATGAACCTATACGTCCGAGATACGAAAAATGTGTTAGTAATAGAGACGGTTTATTTTATGACACTGGTTAAGACTTAGTAAGGTTAACGGATTAAAGAAACCCAAATAGATTCTTGAGTCTGAGGACTATAGAGTTAAATTGTCGCTTTGCTCACGAAGTCACAAAAACCCTGAAAATGCGTCCTTTTTCAGATTTGGTTTTTTTTTCGGTCATTTTGTTATAATGAGAAGGACCCATCTGCCAAAGTTTGAAAGCGGAATATTAATTAGTTTTTTAATTAACGATTAATTAGAAATGACAAAATGCCCACCACACAATCATTTGCATTTTTACGAAGTGCATATTAATATCTCATCGTCACTTCGTGAGAACGAAAATCATGCATGGCGCGTGCATTATATTCTCACGAAGTGACAAAATAATCTCGTTCACAGGGAGTAATACCTTAATGTGCAAACGTCACGGCGGCCGCGTACGCAAGGGCTAGCTATGTACGATGCGATTGGATTCACTGCTGTTTGTCACTCTTATTCCTCACTGTTTCTCATACACACAGATGCATGCATCAAGGATTTCTTGCACACATACAGGCAGCACTTTCCTGAGGCCAGCATTACTCCCAAAATGCACCTCCTAGAGGATCATGCGGTGAACCAGCTGGGACGCTTCGGTGTGGGATTCGGTCTCCTGAATGAGCAGGGTGGGCAGCTCATCCACACTCAATTCAACCGTACAGGCCGGGCAGTCAGTGGGATGCTGGACAACTTGCAAAGGTTGATATGACTGTGATGAGGCGCCACCACATCGCAACAGCTCCTGAGGTCAACTCTAAAGTAATTGCAGTTGAAAAAGAAAGAGAATAATTGAAGAATGAAGGGATATTTTCTTTCAGGGAGAGCTTAAATTTACTTCAGTCACCTGACACATAAATTTTTTTAAGTCCTAGTTTAACTGGGGCCTTACCCTGAAAAAGAGAAAAGAGTCATATTGTATATAACATATCGAGATGAAACGAAGTTGACATACATGTACATCTACAGTAGTAAGTACATGTACTAGAATTAATCACTGCATGCATATTCTCCAATGCGAAGCGGGCGCTCAACTGCGAAGCAAAGTGGGCACTCAACTACGAAGCGGGCACTTGATGGCAAAGCAGGCAGTTTCGCCGATAACAGGCGGCGAAGCAGGCAGTTTCGCAGATAACAGGTGGTGAAGCAGGCAGTTTCGCAGGCAACAGACAAAAGTCTTGTCGTAAAAACACAAACCAAAAACTCCCAACTTACCCATCACTTGAAAATCAAACAGGTGTGTCAGCACTCATTTGATGAAATGCCCAAATGCAGCAAGTGTAGGGTACTGAGTACATGTTGCCATTATTCTTGTACTTTCTTATTTCCAGAGTACCTAGAGGATGCAAAGAGTATACATACAAAGAAAATGAAATCACTACTTATAGCTGTTCAAAAGAGTTACTACGTTTTCATTTTCCGTTATGTATAGGAACAAGGTAAATAAGTGAATATTGTATATGACGAAGCCTGGATGGTTTAAGGTGATTCAAGAATATACTTAGTACATATTTTACAAAAATAAATGAAACGTGTTCCATCCATGGGTCACTTGTATAGCAATCTAGCAAAACTGCACTTCTATCATCATGCTACATGTACAATTGTTAATATTAAAAGTGAATCCTGTTTGCTGCATCCACTATGATCAAAATGATCTACATGTATGCATTAAAACCCGTACCTCAATTACAATGATCAGTATTTGCAAAACTTCAAATTTGTATAGAAAAAAGAGAAGTGGTGAAGGACAGAGGAATAATTAAACACATAATTAAACATATTTTTTTTAAAACATGATTTAAATAAGTTTCACTGTATACGCGCCATCTTGCTAAACATGGGGCAAATGTTCACACGTTGCTTTGTACGCATCATCAACTAAAACTTTTGCGCTTCCAGTACCATGTCAGTCAGCATGCGCGCATTTAAAAATTCTATGATTTCTCCCGCGTCTATTCTTGGTGCATATTATTTGTGAAAGTGCTACTTAAATAAAATAGTATGTAATGTAACCTCTGCCTACAATATTTAATACTTTAAAAGCTTCCCTAGCTGTCCTACTTTTTTCATCAAAAATATAGGAAGAGTCAAATTTTATAGGATGGAATTGGAAAGGAGACATTTAATTTGTTGAAAAATCAGATCAGTGCAGTATAAACGACTTTCCTTGCCCTGCCTGGTATGAAATACATTTTTGGATGAACTAAAATGTAGTTCAGTATGAATACCATAGCTCTTTGGAATAACTATTTCCAAACAAACATCGTGATGATTTGGAGTTTCAAATGTGTCTATCCAGGTGGTAAACAATCATGTACATATAGCCTAGGCCTATTCATATAACAATTTGTACAGTTTACATGAATAATTATTATTAACCATGTTAACATTCAGGTTTTTTGTTTTCGTAAATTGTAATTTGAATCATTGTGTGAATAAAGGAATGATTATTTGGCAGTTCATTGCATTTAAGGTTGATCCTCCACACATATTGTCTAGGCCTAGTAGTAGTACTTCTTTCTTCATGAGTTTTCATGCACACATTGCATGGACGGACATGTGTGCAGCTACACAGCGTAAATGCTATGGAAGTTGGAAGTACATGTATGTCACTGTATGTACATGTACATGTACGTACAAATGCATACACACACCGTACAATGTACATGTACATGTACAGTACGATGTGCATGTACATGTACATGTACATTGCATTCTCTCGCAGTCATTCAAAATCTACCCTCTTTTCCTGGCATTCAAAAACAAAAAAAATGCTTGCCCTTACCTTTAAACCATATCTCAATCCACACAAGTAGTTATCGATTACACCAATGATATGCCACAAAAATCATCAAAAATGATTTTTCCCGTTAAAAATGAGGGTTTTTTTCACACTTCATAAAACATTCCCTTCGTTCGCGCTCGCAGTTACACCACGTGAGTGACCCACACAAGCTGCAACCTAGTTCCTGCCAGGGCCGTCTAGAAGGTTTGGTATTTAAATATCAATGTAAATGTGACCTTTGCTCTTTATTTGCATACCTTTCTCATTTGCATCAAGCCGTTAACCAATGGGCATACGAGAAATACAAACCCATCAGGCGCGCTTGCCTGACCGATTTGAATATTTTATGAGTAGCGCACGACGCACGTAAACAACAAGCGCGAGTTTCGAATGGCCCTTTCAGAACAGTGAGGGCGCCCTCTTTATTTCGGGCTGAGACGGCCGTGAATAGGCTGGAGGGGTATTGTAATGGCCAACGGCGTCCGTCCGGCATTTCCGGACCGTAACATACACAAAAACAGTTTATTGATATTTTTCTTTTGCAAACCAGTGGAAAGTAACGAAAAATTCAGGAAAGAAATATGTTTAGCATGATACACGACACGTCTTAGTTCAGGAAAAAATAACCCAAAATTACTTCATTAAATATATTTTCCAAGAGATTGAATTTCATTGAAAAGTGGTTAATATTAAAGCTTGTAACCTGTATGGAACCTAGATATACCAAACAAAAAAGAAAAAATTCGCACGATTTTTTTTCATGGAACTTTAAAAAATGAAAATGAGGCCCAAAAACTTTGCATGTTACATCCAGTGCAGGGTTTTCTTTGAACATGGCTTTGAACCCCTAATAAAAAAAATAAAAATTAAAAAATCACCAAAACTCGTCTTAAACTTTTCATTCACGCCCCATCAACTCATTTGTTGCAATGAAGAAATTCCACATGATTTTGGCTATTTCTGTTATGAAACTAAGTTTACAATTTGTGTACATAACTCTTGTTGCCCACCAAATTCAGAAGGGATCTCAAGATGATTGTTATAAAATGTGAACACACACAAAAGTATTTTCATTTACCTTGTGTGCAATATACACTGTTTTACAAAATATCAATTTAACAGTGAGTCTTAAACTGGTGGTGTGGTATAAATGTCTGTTTCACATTGCGTTAATTGTTGGTGTCCAGTAGTTATGTACGAATTCATTCACTTACCATTTTCATTTTTTAGCAAGGTAAGGGGTCACCTTTGACATGGCCTGAACCAAGGATCAACAACTATTGGTTGTAATATGCGATGTCATGCTATTCCTTGCATGGACACAAAGTTATGTAAAAAAAGATATCATTGCAAATGCCATTGCTGTCCAACTTCTCAGCATGAGTGCCAAACACCATGTTTTTTACTTTAGTCATAACAATCTTTTGTTCACTTCAAATTGACTAACATAGGGGAAAAAACATTATTTAGATCGGTCTGTTGTTGATTTCTGATGGGCCGTCACATCATAAATCAAAAATTGCCTTCTATATTTCATCTTTGTATTAATCAATGAGTCTTTGTTTTATAAGTATAATATCAAGCAGATAAACATTGTAACATAATATGTTTTCCCACAATGTTTGCATGGTGTCCGTGTTATGTACACTAACTTGCCATCATTTACTTTGCCTGCCATTCTTGCAATAGATTCCAGAGTTTGTGTTACATCGTGTTTCAAAGGTTGTCAGTCCATATAACATTTTAAGAAACATTTTTTTCTGGTTGGCCCATATTTTATGAGTGTTTTCAAAAAGATCACCATCCCATTTCAATTTTGTACATAACGGTGTCCACTTAAACACAACTAACTTATGTGGGGCATAAGATTACTTTTGAATTGTTTTGCTTATTTCATGTTAAAGTGGTATTGGCACACCCCATAAAACCACTTCAGTCTTTTAAAAAAATTCTCACACAGTATGAGAAATGAACCTTTCAAGGACACCAATTTATATACAGCATAAGGCTCCTCTGACTCACTTCAAGTGTAAATAAATCTTTTATAATGAGATGTCTTGCTCAGGGTCCTATTTTTTATGTTTCTGTGGATTGTATTAAACAACCTGGCATGGTTACTTGAGCTATTATCTGTTGTTCATTTTTGGGTCTATTTGTAACACCAATTTTGTCGTGTATTATATCCCTGCACTCTGTATCATTATGCTTTTTCAAAAAAAGATGCAGCATTGGTTTTTGCTTTTTACTGCAAGGTTTTCCAAGACATTTCCCATCAAGAGTGGGAGCCAATAAATTAATTCAGTGAATTGACTTGGAGGTATTTCCTCTCTTCCTTTTGCAATTTGGAGGATGTAGCTGCTAAGACCAAAGTAGACAGGAATACTTGAACAAAATTTAGCTTTTTTTCCTTTTATCCAAACTTCAGTGTTGAGGATTCAGTAACTGGAAGGCTCATAGTAAACATGACCGTATAGAGAAAGTTGATATTCATAAATGCCTGAGAGAGTTTCACAGAGTGGCTTTTGCATTTTTTGCAAGAAGGTATTTACAAAGGTATGAATGGGCATCAAAATGTGAGGACTTGTTTTTTATTAGTCAATGATAATAATAACCTTGGGTCGACCCGTTCATCACACTGTTATCCCCTTCATCATTGGAGAAAACATTTCCTAGCAAAACTGAAGGAAATTTCTAGTAATTGTGGCATGCCTTTACTGGACCTCATGTAATTGCATTTAGCTTTAATATGATGGAATGGATGCTATGAAGTTAGGTCTACCGATGACGATGCTATCCAGAGAAATGAATGTTCAGATGTAATACATTTTAGTAGCCCTTGCAATGTACTTAGATACTGTGAACATATCCTCACCAGTTCTATTACACATTAAAGGGAATATACATCATTGGCTTTTGCTGTAATTTTCAGAAATGAAATATTTGAGGGGTTAGTATAATAGATCAAATATTGTTACACTCACATGTTTGAAGTTTTGTGTTCGAAAATGCTGGAAAAACCAAGGAGAACAAAACTGTTCAAGTAGTCTGGTTCCCTGACTCCATCAAATATGAAATGGATCAATTTACAGATGCCGGAAAATTGTAAGGTAAGGGTACCAGTCCAGCTGGCCTTCACCCGTTCATGAACATGTAACCAATAGCAAACACAATTTTGACTGAATTAATGGTAAATTTGGAGCAGTAGTTGAAAAATAGTTCGGTTTTTCCAACGGTGGACGGCCGACCACCGCTGAATTTTTTTTACCAAAATACCATTTTCTTGAAAATGACTTCACACCAGGTGCCATAATTTTACAGGATGCTTTAGACTGTCATTTACCAAGATCCTATTAAGGTATTTCGCAAAAACTTGGTAGTTTGATTTTTCGATGTTTGCAAATGTTGTATATTCCCTTTAAAGCAGATAGTGATTACGGGGAGTCGTGATTTCTGTTTTGAGATAGAGTCTACTCCAACTCCCAAAATAGTGGAGTCACCCAAGCCTATCCTACACAAGTGATTAATGCATTATCACATTGACGCACGATCGACCTAGTACAAATATTTGTATTGTCTTGCCCACTCCAGTCTTCTTTCCTTAAGCCACTTAAAAAGTGAAGCCATGTTAAGCTTTGCAAACAAATTGTTGCTCTGCTCTTGAAAAGATGGGTATGAGAGTTCCAGGTGAAAAGTGAAAGATGTGCTTGTTGTGGAAGACACTTCTAAGTATTAAGTTAAAGTCAGCATCATTTTCTGGTCGATGGTGGTAACCAGATGAGGTGGGTGTAGCCATGTACTTGTCCATCATGTGGAGCAGCTTGTCTACTTTTCCTACAGCTTTGCTTGCTCGTGTCATTGTCTTTTCATTCAGGTTGGGTCCAACATGACGCATGAGTCCTTTGGCCACTTTATTCTTATGTTCAAGATGAAGATCACGGGGGATCCTGCATCCACTCCCTCCTTTGGTGTTGATTGTTCTATTCCATGTTAATTGATATGCTCGCCGAGGAGACAAAAGTGCCTTTACACAAGCCGTTTGGTGAAGAACGCCATACGCATAACTTGGGTGGCCAAGCAAACGGAACAACAACATCAGGAACTTGTACACCAAGAGCAGCCTGGGACCATCCCCTTCTTTGACAGCATCATGTGCATTTCGCAGTAGGAGACCCATACACAAGAAGGCAGACCCATAATTGTACACATAGTCTTCACTTGTTCCCTGTGTTGTCTCTGATATCTCAACATAAGGATCAAGTGACTTGCCATGTACCTTCATCTCGTGGTTTTCCCTTGCTTTCCTGTATTTGTACTCTCGTTGGCAGCCGCTAAATTGGCATGGGTGTTCAGTTTCTGTAGCAGGCTCCTCCATATTTTTAACCAAGGGAAACAAACTGGGTTATCATTTTCCGCACTTCATGGAGCCATCTCTGCTTGTCAACAGGAGACGCACTACGAACGAAATCTGGGACAACAGATGAGTCAACAGATTCCAAGTCAAAATATTCCAGGCTGGCAGCAGTGATAAAAACGTCCAGTTGCAAATCAACAAATTCTCTTATCTCCAAAAACTTGGCCTCTGCATCCTCTGTTGCATTGCTGTTGTTGACTAGATTGGCATTTGCAAAGAATGTGCCTTCATCCAGGCTTGAGTCAGACTTCCGGAAAATTTCATTGCAATTTGAAAAAAAAATCAGTGTGAAATTTGAAAACACTTAGAACTTACGAAAACACTTAGAACAAGTTTCTGGGAATGTTCCCAAAATATCTGCAAACTTTCCTTCTCTTTACAACCCAACAAACATACATCAAGTTAGACAAGTCACGTCCTTAGAAACAGTGGTTCACCCAGGATGTGACATAAGTGGGTCTCCAAAAAAATTCTAACCATTTCCAAATTGCATTTAACACTTTGTTAAAAGGTTGCCCCAAAGTTTTAAAACTATTGAATGTAGGCTCAAGACCCCCCCCCCCCTTCGATGTGCCACTGCTTTGAAAGGAAGCTTTATGTTGGTGGTGATGACCTCAAAGTTGAAAAGTACCTATTCCATTGTGCTTCAAAAATCAGATACAGTACTTTACGGTGGCTGACTCTAGTGCTCTTTTTATCAAATAGATAGCCCACAGTACAGCTCTTATAAAGTACAGATTCCGAAAATGACACCAGGTGTCCACAAGACATTACAGAGACACATATTGATACACTCCAGCAAACAAATGAAGCTACAAACCTCATAGGCATTTCTGATGGCATGCCAGTCTTCCCATTTTGGAATCACTCCACGAAGGCAATCCAATTCAGTATCTCCATCAGCTCTGGCAAACTGAGCATTTCTGGCACGCTGTTCAGTCAGTTTGTCACCACCAAAGAAAACCTTTTAAGATAAATGTGAAATTGACACGTGATCCAAATAAATTTTAGATTTTTCCCCTATACAAGCTCTCGGAAAGCACTGAACAGACAGTGCTTCACACTATGTAAGAAATGGCAATAGTGAAGATACTTATTTAAAACTCAACATGAAACATTCATGTAAATCAATCCAGCACAAAGGAAACTGTACATGTACATAACATCTACTACAAAAACAAAAGACTCCATTTCATTGCACCACATTTTAACAGGAATGTAATCAACAGCAATTGTAAACAGTACTGTTTACTCAAATGACATCGACTAAACACGGACGGAATATCTATCATTGTATAATCTGACAATAAAGTAGACAGATGAATACTGACCATAACAAAAATAGCCCCCTTTTATCGTATAAACGATA